AGAGATGGGGTTTCACCATGTTGACCAGGATGGTCTCGATCTCTTGACCTCGTGATCCACCCACCTCGGCCTCCCAAAGTGCTGGGATTACAGGCGTGAGCCACCGCGCCCAGCAAATGAGTATTTCTTAAACTGAACTATGGTGCTGGCACTTCTCTGTGAGTCAAGAACAAAGACACAGACAAAATAGACCAGTCCCTGCCCTAAAGGAGCTGCTATTCTAGTCAGGGCAGGCAGAGAATAGACAAGTCCACAGGGAACTGTGTCTTACGTGAGGCCATGGTCAGTACCTGGTAGAATAATAAATCAAGAAGGGAGGGGAAGAGATGAATGTTAGGGTGGGTGTGGTGAGGTCGCCCAGGGAAGGCCCTCCTGAGAGGGTGGCATTGGAGTAGAGATCTGGAGGAACCAAGGGGGTGAGCTGTGCAGATCCTTGGGGAGAAGTCCATCCACAAAGAGGAAACAGCATGGGCACAGATCGGGGTCAGGGCCAGCAAGGAGGCCATGGCAGCTGGAATGGAGTGCTAGGAAGAAAATCCAAGATGCACAACAGCGTGTAACATATTACGGATTGTGTTCTGAAAAGCACATGCACACACATGTGTATGTAGAGCCCATCGCTAGGGAGATGATAAGTGTTCAAGGAATCAGCAACTGCCATGAGCTCCAGAGAGAGGAACTGAGATAGAGACAGGTAGAAGAGAGCCTTTTGCTTTTCTTTTTAATTTTTAAATTTTGTCAGCACATAGTAGTTGTATATGTTTACGGGGTACACAAGATATTTTGACACTGGCATGCAATGCATAATAGCCACGTCAGCAGGATGTGGCATCCAGCCTCTCAAGCATGTATCCTTTGTGTTACAAACAATCCAATTATACTATTTAGTTATTTTTAAATGTACCATTATTATTGACTATAGTCACCCTGCTGTGCCAGCAAATACTAGGCCTTCTTCATTCTATTATTTTTTACTCATTAACCATCCCAACTTTCCCCAACCCCATCTCCACTCCCCTTCCCAGTCTCTGGTCACCATCCTTCTACTCTCTCTGTCCATGAGCTCCATTGTTTTGATTTTTAGATCCCTCAAATAAGTGAGACCATGTGGTGTTTGTCTTTCTGTGCCAGTTTATTTCAGTGTACATGATGTCCTCTAGTTCCATCCATGTTACTGCAAATAGTATGATCTCATTCTTTTTGATGGCTGAATAGTATTCCATCGTGTACATGTACCACATTTTCTTTATCTGTTTGTCTATTGAACAGGCTTTTGCTTTTAAAAAAGTTTTTTCACCTACATATATTACTTTTATTTGTTTGTTTGTTTATTAAGACAGTGTCTTGCTCTGTCACTCAGGCTGGAGTGTGGTAGTATGAACTTGGCTCACTGCAACCTCTGTCTCCCAGGTTCAAGCAATTTTTCTGCTTCAGCCTCCTAATAGCTGGGATTACAGGCATACACCATCACACCTGGCTAATTTTTGTATTTTTGGTAGAGATGGGGTTTCACCATGTTGGCCAGGCTGGTCTTGAACTCCTGATCTCAAGTGATCCACTTGCCTTGGCTTTGCAAAGTGCTGGGATTACAGCAGTGAGCCACTGTACCTGGCTGCATTAGTTGTTTAAGAGTAAAATGTTTTCAAATCTAATGAACCTTGAAAAGAAAGCTCAAGAACTTTCTAGTTATTAACCACATGTAAACAAAAGCAAAAACCGTGTAATAAATACTTGATAGTCTAAATTAAAGTTTTAAATCTCTATGTATGAAAACATATTTGAGAGGTAAAAATGCAAATGACGAAAATTTCTGATTCCTTAGTTCTGACTCCAGAGTGGGTGTGCTGGCCATAAAAAAAAAAAAAAAAAAAAAAAAAAAAAAAAAAAAAATCAGCGAAATATTTTAACATGTGTGACACTTGAATGTTAATATCTTTAATATATTAGGAGCCTTAACTAACTCAGAAGAAAAAGAGAAACACCCCAAACAGAAAAATAGCTAAAGGACATGAGTGAACAGGGTACTCACAATGGAAGAAAAACAATTGCTCAGTACATATACCAAAAAGTCTAATCTTGTCAATTAGCAAAGAAAAATAAATTAACACAAAACGTTTCCCACCTATCAGAATAACAGGTGATAATTTGAGAAAATTATAATTTTCTGTTATCCAAAAATTCTACCTCTAAGAACTGATCTTTAAAAAATTAGTATAAGTGTGGGAAACTTTTATTGGAAGTACCTGGATTTCAACAGTGTTCCAAGTTACAAGTAAACAAGGTCAGATGCAATCTGTGTGTTCACCAAGAGGGACCTGACCAAATCAGTGATGGCCCAAATCATTCCATGGAATAAAATGTAGCCATTAAAATAATAATTGGTCTGGGCATGGTGGCTTATACCTGTAATCTCAACACTTTGGGAGGTGGAGGCAGGAGGATCACTTGAGTCCAGGAGTTCAAGACCAGCCTGGGCAACATAGCAAGACCCTGTCTCTATAAAAAATGTAAAAATTAGCGGGGTGTGGTGGTGGGCACCTGTAGACCCACCTACTTGGGAGGCTTAGGTGGGAGGATTGCTTGAATCTAGGAATTGGAGGTTACAGTGAGCTATGATGGTGCCACTGCACCCCAGCCTGGGCAGCAGAGCAGGACATGGTCTTTCGAAAAAATTAAAATAAATGAAAAGAAAAAGAAATAATTAAAGAAAAACAAGCTGGTTCCATCTGTAAGGATGGGAGTTGAGGGAGGATCAAGACTGAAAACCGATCAGGCAGGTTCGGTCAGCTCTGGCTGTCACACCCGGGAAGCGCTGCTCATTTCAGTTTTGCCTTCTTCCTTGTGGGCTGCTGGCCACACCTGTCCTCAGCATCCCTTTCTCAAGCCCTGGGAGCAGGAGATTTCAGCAATGGTATGGGTTGGTCATGCCAGGATATTTTTTACTTGGGAATAGCTGAGATAACCCAAGTGAAATCCTGTTCTGGGCAGCTGTTCTGGCCAGGCACCCTGCCAGTCACTGGGAGGGACACTGACAGGAATAGGTCACAGTCACCATCTTGGTCACAGAGTTCTTATTGCAAACAATAGAACTTGCTCTAGATGGTTTGAGCTGGAAAGAGATTGATTAGAGAATTCAAGCCTCTATTAAAGGCCAGAGGCACCAGCTTTGTTGGCACAAGGTCAGGTAGAGCACTGAAACCACACTGCTGCACGGCTCCGGCATGACCACCCTGCTACCAGTCACAGTCACGGCCCCCATGCGCTGACACTGCACAGGGGACTCAGAAACCCTTGCCCTGAGAGCCAGAACCCTCCACACCGTCATTCCCAGGGAGATTCTGCGGGATTCCAGTGTCCTTGACCCGTCTCTGAAGAGGCCTTGCTGAGATGAGAGTGTTTGCGGAGCTGAGGTTCGTGCCTGTGCCCTGCAGGCAAGGAGGTGAGGGCAGCAAGTCCTAGCCACTCCCAAAGTAAGAACTTTCCACTTCACACTGAGGGAAGTTCTTCAAACTTGCAGTTTTAAAGAAACCAAGGGGCTACAGTGCATGACGAATGTGCCCTGATTTCTGGGAACTTAGAGTCGATGCACACTTCAATCTCATGCAGGTGAATGCAGAAGTGTGTGGCCCCCTTGGTGAGTGGGGAGGCAGCCAGACAGCACCACAGCTCTTCAAGGAGCAGGAGAGTGACCCCAAGCTGTGTTATGGGTGGTGGGGCTGATTTTAGGGAGGGTAGAGGAGGGTGCTGGAAAGGGTCACTGTGGCCAGCTCAGAGCTTCAAGGACCCCTGGTTACGAACGTGAACTCTCTCTCATCTGTGGGCAGAGGGAAGTCAGGGTTAAATTTTTGGACTGTAGCAAGCTGTGGTGGGGAGTGGGGGGATTTTTTTAGAATAAAATTGTGCTATGAGATCAACTGCATCCCCCCAAAATTCATAGGTTTAAGCCCTAAGCCCCAATATCCCAGAATGTGACTGTAATGGAGACAGGGCCTTTAAATAGGGGACTTAAGTAAAATGAGATCGTTGGAATGGACGCTAACCCAATACAGCTAGTGTCCTTATAAGAAGAGGGAATTCAGACACACAGAGACACCAGGGATGCGTGCCATGTAAGAGGCAGCAAGAGCCTGGCCTGCAAACCAAGGAGAGAGGCCTCAGAGGAAAACGAGCTGCCCCAACGGCCTGACCTCACATTTCTAGTCTCCAGAACTGTGAGCAATTATGTTTCTTTAGTCAAAGCCACCAGTTGCGGTGTTCTGTTGTGGTGGCCAGAGCAAACGGATAAAGTAGTGAGTCCCTCTGGCACCCTCGGAGGTTCTGCTTGTTGCTGTTCCCCAAGGCCGTCCTGGCCATGACGAGGGCAGGTGCGGCTGTTTGGGAGGAGACCGCGGTGGAATGAAGAGAAGGAAGGCTTGCTTGATGCAGCAGGGAGTAGACTACGGATTCTAGGAGGGCTCTACAAAGGTCCAGTGATTGAGCTTGTCGGGGAAGCCTGAGCTGTATGTAGGTCTTGCTCTTCTGTGCCCTGCAGCATGGCTTGACCCCTTTCTGTTCTCATGCCAGACCCTAAGGGCAGTGTCAACTGGGCCACAGATGCAGGCCTGGTGGGCCTGGTGGGCTGTTTTTATGCCCACCTTCACCTCCTGGATGTTGTGACTGGCATCCCTGAAGCTCTGTTTCTTTGTGTGTGAAATTAAATAAGGACATGTCATACATCACATGCCAGGAATCCACCAGCGCAGAGCCAAGGCTCAGCAAAGAGGAGTTCCCTCCTCCTCTGCCTTTTTAGGTCAGGAGCAAATGCAGATCAGGGTGGGGACAAGGTAAACGCATAACCAAGGTGGAGATGGAGATCTGATTGATTAGTAACTCATAAATCATTTGAAACCATACTTCCCTGTTGATAGTCAACCTTCTGTAAACACACAATGTGTTCTCACCTTGTTATCATTCCCAATGATCTCAAATGTGTGGTTGCCCTCGTCAGTATAAAGGTTTAATGTGAATTTTCCTGGATGCACCTGCCTATGGGAGTCCTGCTCGTCAACATGGTAGGTAACTGGTTTTATATACAAAGCCTAGAAAAGTAAAAAAGAATATGTATTCCTTATTTAATATGCTGTGATTTGTGCTTCTACTGCACAGCATTGAAGGTAAGTGTGACCTGTTTAGGAATCTTTTGTTATTACCTGCAATTCAATGTGCAGAGTAGGAGAGTCTGGAGCTTGGGAAATTCTTATTGAGCTTAGCACTAATTCTGTTCTCTAAGATCCAAGTTGTTTTTCCTTCCAGGACCGATTCACGGAAGCCTCAACCTTCCTGGGCTTAGGTGATCCTCCCACCTCAGCTTCCTGAGTAACTGGGACCACAGGCCAGCCACCATGCCTGGCTAATTTTTGTATTTTTTGTAGAGACAAGATTTTACTATGCTGCCCAGGCTAGTCTTGAACTCCTGGGCTCAAGTAATTTTCCTACCTTGGCCTCCCAAAGTGCTGAGATTACAGGTAGGAACCAATGTGCCTGGCCAGGAATGAATTTTGCTCCAAAATTTATAGAAACCCATGCAGACTTTTTTGCATCTTAAACTTGATCTTTATTAAAACATTCTTTGGTGATCTCTAACTACTGGGCCCAAGTAATCCTCCCACCTGAGTCTCCCAAAGTTCTGGCATTACAGGTATGAGCCATTACGCCTGACCAGACCCCCAACTCTTGATCATAGGTTAAGACACTTCCAGGAGTAGTAATTTACCTAAAAAGACACAACTTTTTTTTTTTTTTTTTTTTTTTTTTGAGACAGAGCCTTGCTCCATCGCCAGGCTGGAGTGCAGTGGTGAAGTTTCGGCTCACTGCAACCTCCCCCTCCCAGTTCAAGCAATTCTCCTGCCTCAGCCTCTCAAGCAGATGGGACTACAGGTGTGCACCACCACACTCAGCTAATTTTCGTATTTTAATAGAGACAGGGTTTCACCACGTTGGCCAGGATGCTCTTGATCTCGACCTCATGAATTGTCCACCTTGGCCTCCCAAAGTGCTGGGATTACAGGCGTGAGCCACCGCACCAGGCCAAAGAGACACAACTTCTAAGAGCACTGCCAGTCTGCTTCACCTCAAGGCTGACCATGAAGCTGCACCATCTAGAAAACCCTAGCCCATGCTGGCATGGTGGTGTACTCTCCTGTGTCTGCACACATCAGGGGCTCATGGTTACTAAATGCAGGAAAGGAAGACAGGAGGGAGGGAAGGCTGGTGGCAGAATAGAAGACAAGAATGAAAAGGAGCTTTAGAGTCTCTCTACTCAGGGGTGGGCCTCAGACCAGCAGCGTGGGCATCACCTGGGAGCTTCCATGTAAGTCTGTAGACCTATTGAAGCAGAATTTGCATGTTATTGAATAAGCTCTCTGGTCGGGCGTGGTGGCTCATGCCCATAACCCCAGCACTTTGGGAGGCCGAGGTGGGCAGATCACTTGAGGTCAGGAATTTGAGACCAGCCTGGCCAACATAATGAAACTCCATCTCTACTAAAAATACAAAAATTAGGCAGGCCTTGTGGTGCACACCTGTAATCCCAGCTATTTGGGAGGCTGAGGCAGGGGAATCGCTTGAACTCAGGAGTCAGAGGTTACAGTGAGCCGAGATTGCGCCACTGCACTCTAGTCTGGGTGATAGAACAAGACTCCATCTCAAAAAACAAACAAACAAAAATCTCCCAGGAATTTATATGCACATTAAAGCAGCACTGGATTGAGCATTGTTCCTGGGCTCTCATGTAGGTAAAGATACGGAGGCACTGGCTGTTTCTTTCTTCAATGAGCCTGAGATTGCGTGTTTCTTATTCACTCCCCAGGTAACTCTAATGCTTACCCAAGGGGGAGAACCCCTCTTTTTACAGGGGAGGAAAACTGAGCTTCAGAGAGAGAGAGAGAGAGAGAAAGAGAGAGAGAGAGAGAGGAGAGAGTCAGTGTCAGGCTATTTCTGAGACACTGTCAAGTAGGAAATCTCTTAACGAAATAATTTTCTCTCTGCTGTTACCATGTTTGAACTCCATCCCCAGTTGTTCAATCTTGTGCCTTTGCTCTAGAGCTGCAGAAGATTTGGGGATTTTGCACATGTCACTTGTCCTTGGCTGCAGCCTTGCTTGTCCCTGTTGACTCTCCTGCTTTGTGACTCAGTGAACAAGATCTCCAAGATTCTTGTGATCCTCCCTCTTCCCGGAGCCCTCTTTCTGCAAGAAGGGAGGGAAAATACCGTCAACAAGGCTGGCTTTTTTGGGAAAAAAGTTTAGGTTTCCTGGACCCCTTCCTGACACCTCACACTAAAATTAACTCCAGATGGATTAAAGATTTAAACATAAGGCCTAACACCATAAAAATCCTAGAAGGAAACCTAGGCAAAACCATTCAGGACATAGGCAAGGACTTCATGACTTAAACACCAAAAGTATTGGCAACAAAAGCTAATATAGAAAAATGGGACCTAATTAAACCCTAGAGCTTGTGTACAGTAAAAGAAACAATCATTAGAGAGTGAACTGGCAACCAAGAGAATGGGAAAAGATTTTTGCTTGTCCCTGTTGACTCTCCTTTGTGACTCAGTGAAACAATATCTCCAAGATTCTAGTGATCCTCAGTCCCCCCGGAACCCTCTTTCTGCATGAAGGGAGTGCAAATACTGTCAACAAGGCTGGCTTTTTTGGGGAAAAACATTTAGGTTTCACAACGATTTTGAGTTGAAGGTTATACAAAGAAAGAATGAAACAGAATAAGTGCCACTCCAAGTCCTGGCTTGAGCTGAATATATCGAAGTTTTGAGTTGTTTTTAAAGAATTTCATTCTTTCTTTCTGGCTATAAACCCCATACATTTTATCGTAGAAAATTTAGAAAATAAGAGGGAAACTCCAAAGAAGAAAATTGTCATAATCTTACCAATCTAAAATGACTTGTTATTTGGTACAAAACCTTCAGTGTGTTCTGAGCGTCTCTCTCCACATCATGGGAATCACGCATTTCATAGCCTGCTTCACTATGTAATGACACGTGATCATTTGCTCAGGTGACTTCACCTTCTACCTTGCTGGCTCACCAGGTGTTTTTCTGAGTCACTGTTCTCCACCAGCTCTGTTCTCGGGCACTTGGTTTCTTTCCACTTTTTCCACTGCAGTGAGTATCCTTTTGGAGGAGTCCATCTATGTGCCATTTTTAGGATCACATCTTGGAGATGAAAAGTTGAAGTCAAATATTGTAAATGGTTTTAAGAATGTGGATATATAGTAGCAAACTGCTCTCCATAACAGTTGTTCAATGTAAGTCATTCTTTCTTTTTTTTTCTAAAAGATGGGGTTTCACCATGTTGGTCAGGCTACTCTTGAACTCCTGACCTCAGGTGATCTGCCCGCCTCGGCCTCCCAGAGTGCTGGGATTACAGGCATGAGCCACCACGCCTGGCCCAGAGTAAGTCATTCTTGTGCATATCACCTCTCATAGATGCCTCTATTTCGCTCTGGGTATTGTGAATTCAATGATTATTCTTGACATTTCATTATGTTTCTATTTCATCTACATATTTATATTTCTTTTGCTATCAGTAAATTGAATTTTTTCATGTGTTTATTAATCATGTGTGTGTGTGTGTGTGTGTATGTGTGTGTGTGTTTGTGTTTGAAAGAAGGAGAGAGAAATGCCACTTTATTTTCTTGCCATTTTTCTGTTTAAGATGTTTTTCAGCTGAGCTTGGTGGCTCACGCCTGCAATTCCAGCACTTCCGGAGCCTGAGTTTGGTGGATCACCTGAGGTGGGGAGATCAAGACCAGCCTGACCAGCATAGAGAAACCTCGTCTCTACTAAAAATACAAAATAGCTGGTCATGGTGGCGCATGCCTGTAATCCTAGCTAGTTGGGAGGCTCAGGCAGGAGAATTATTTGAGCCTGGGAGGTGGAGGTTGCAGTGAGGTGAGATTGTACCATTGCACTCCAGCCTGGGCAACAAGAGTGAAAATCTGTCTAAAAAAAAAATGTTTTTTAGGCTGGGCATGGTGGCCAATGCCTGTAATCCCAACACTTTGGGAAGCCAAGGTGGGAGGATCACAAGGTCAGGAGATGGAGACCTTCCTGTCTAACACGGTGAAACCCCAGCTCTTCTAAAAATACAAAAAATTAGCAGGGTATAGTGGCACACAGCTGTAGTCCCAGCTACTCAGGAGGCTGAGGCAGGAGAATTGCTTGAACCAGGGAGGTAGAGGTTGCAGGGAGCTAAAAAAAAAGGTGTTTTTCTTTTGCCATTGGTATACAATGATATTGTTCCGCAAATTTGATATCTTTCTAATTTCAGTTATGTTCTTACATTTATATTCTGAAATCTCTTTTTCTTTTATGCTTAGAATAAGTATTTATGTATGTATGCTGTGATTGTTTTATGATCTATGGTAACAATTTAACCCTTGAATCACTTTAGAATTTATTTCACTAATGGGGACTCAAGTAGGAAATTAACTTTGTTTCTTCCGCAAGTAGTTAATCACTTGTTCTAATATCATTTATTGAATAATTCCTCTCCACAGATCTCAAAGGCCATGTTTATTTTATAATAGACTTCTACATATAATTATATTTTCTGGTTTTCTAATTTTTCTTTTTTACCTTATCCAATTACCTTTGGAACTTTCTGCCTTTTCTATTTTGATCTCTGTGTTTGTCTTTTTTATTTTTAAAGACAATGTTTCACTCTGTCACTCAGGCTGGAGTACAGTGGGGCTATCTTGGCTCTCAGCAGCCTCAAACTCCCTGGGCTCAAGCGATTCTCCCATCTCAGCCTCCCAAGTAGCTGAGATTAGAGAACATACCACCACGCCCACCTAATTTTTGTAGGATTTATTTATTTTTTTTTTTGACACGGTGTTTTGTTCTTGTTGCCCAGGCTGGAGAGCAATGGCACGATCTCGGCTCACCACAGTCTCTACCTCATGGGGTCAAGTGCTTCAGCCTCCTGAGTAGCTGGGATTATAGGCATGCACCACTGCACATGGCTAATTTTGTTTTTAGTAGAGACCAGGTTTCTCCATGTTGGTCAGGCTGGTCTCAAACTCCCAATCTCAGGTGATCTGCCCCTCTTGGCCTCCCAAAGTGTTGGGATTATAGGTGTGAGCCACCATGCCCAGCCTTAATTTTTGTATTTTTGGTAGCAATGGGGTTTCACCATGTTGCCCAGGCTGATTTTGAACTCTTGAGCTCAAGTGATCTGCCGGCCTCAGCCTCTCAAACTGCTGAAATTACAGGAGTGAGCCATGGTGCCCTCCCTATCTTTCTATTCTTTTCATTTTTTTTTGCGATGGAGTTTTGTTCTTGTTGCCCAGGCTGTAGTACAACGGTGCTATCTCAAGTCAGTCACTACAACCTCCACCTCCTGGGTTCAAGCAATTCTCCTGCCACAGCCTCCCGAGTAGCTGGGATTACAGGCATGCAACACCATGCTGGCCTAATTTTGTATTTTTAGTAGAGACAAGGTTTCTGCCTATTGGTTAGGCTGGTCTCAAACTCCCGACCTTGGGTAATCCACCCACGTCAGCCTCCCATAGTGTTGGGATGACAGGCATGAGCCACCTCTCCCAGCCCCTGTCTATTCTTATATGAGTCACATACTACTTCAAGTAGCATCACTTCATAATTAATTTTAGGAATCTTACAGAAGAAATACTTTCATTCCCATTGTCAAAAGACAAAATTAGAACATATTTAGTTTAAAGATCTTAATTGACTTCTTTTTTTTTTTTTTCATTTTGAGACAGAGTGTCACACTGTCGCCCAAGCTGGAGTGCCAGGGCACAATCTTGGCTCACTGCAACCTCTGCCTCCAGGGCTCAAGTGATTCTCCCACCTCAGCCTCCCGAGTAGCTGGGATTACAGGCAAGTGCCACCATGCTCAACTGATTTTTTGGTATTTTAGTAGAGAACAGGTTTCACCATGTTGCCCAGGGTGGTTTCAAACTCCTGAGCTCAGGCAAGCCACCCACCTCAGCCTCCCAAAGTGCTAGGATTACAGGCATGGGCCACCACGCCCGGCCCTTGATTGGCTTTTACTTATGAGTCTAGAATCTGGCAACACCTCATTCCATAAAATAGATGGAGTGTTCTAAACAGCTTACCAGAGAAGTTTGCCTTTATAGATAGAAAACAGTGCAGGTAAGCAGAAACACAGAACAGAAGCTGAATTGGTCTTTTCCAGGTGACTTTGCTTATAAAAGTTAAAGCAGAAGGGACTTTCTCATCATGTCAGCTAAAACTGGCCTGTTGGGCATTTGGCTATTACCTCTCAGTCTCTCCTGATTTCTTAGAAGGTTGGATAAGCAACTTAGTTCTGGCTTAGTAGCAGAGAACTTCAGCATGGGCAACTGCGTTTTGGTTTTGTCTATTCGGCCTAGTGCAGGAGCTCAGTCCAAACCAATGGCCTCCTATATATTTCATTGAACACCATCTTCCCTTTCAAGAGTTCCCAGAAATTACCATATTAAAGTTTGTTTATTTCGCTCATCTCAAAAAGATGACAAGGTCAACTAGATACTTTTCCTTGTTCTACAATTTCAGCCTAGATTAACTGGTTTGTTCATGGAGCCATCAAAGATGCCTTTATGATCTGGGAAATGAACTTCCTAGCCTCACCCTCTGTGTTCACAGCGTGGCCTCAACCTATTTTTCCAGTCATATCTCCAGCTAATCCAGTTAACTACAATAAGCCTTCAACTATATATGTGTTGCTTCTCTTCTCTATCTTTGTTAACGTTTCATTCTTTTCATGAAACTCCTTATTCTGTCCTTTAACTCTTACATATTCTGCAAAAAGGCTAAAGATTGCCTTATCTATAAAGGTCTCCTGAACTTCCTCTGCAGTGAAACAGCCCACATATCATTACTGCCCTATGCCTGCTGACTCCTGTTTGCCTCTTTCTATAGTTCATGCTGGTGACTTGTGTGGGTCTTATTCCCTCGCTAAGTCACCCATGGTTAGGAGCTCCACCTCATAACCTCTACCAGAGCCCAGCAGAGGTCCTGGTACACAGCACTCAGTAAAGGATTATCATCTGAATTAATTCATTCTTCACCCTGACCCTTCTTCACATTACAGAACGTTCTCCTGGGAAGACTTGTGATCTTTGCCACCTTTGTGACCTTATGCAATGCATCATGCTATTTAATACTGAATGACATAGTTCCAGGAGAGTCAACCAAGGGTAAGTCTTGGCTTTTCAATGTTTATTATGTTATTGCAGCCTGGTAGATAAACCTGTCTGCAGATTAAAACCTTTGTGTTTGTTGTTGTTGCTGTTTGTTTGAGACAGTCTCGCCCTGTCTCCCAAGGTGGAGTCAGTGGTGAGATCTCGGTTCACTGCAACCTCCTCCTCCCGGGTTCCAGTGATTCTCCCACCTGAGCCTCCCAAGTAGCTGGAACTGCAGGTGCCTGCCACCATGCCTAGCTAATTTTTGTGTTTTTGGTAAAGACGGGGCTTCATCATGATGGCCAGGCTGGTTTCGAACTCCTGACCTCGGGTGATACGCTTGCCTCAGCCTCCCAAATTGTTGGGATTATAGACATGAGCCACTGTACCTGGCCTCACTTGGGGAGCCTTCTAAGAATAAGGTGGCCTGGGCCCTACACCCAGAGACGGATTTCATTGTTCTAGGGTAGGGCTGAGAAATATGAGATGTTTTCCAAGTACCCAAGATGTTTCACATGTGCACCCAGGGTTGAAGACCACCGATGCAAAGCAATGGAAAGTGTAGAAGTGCGATATTTATCGAGAGATAATCCAGCAGGAAAAACCTTGGATCCAAGTACCCCTACGCTCATATGGCTATCTGATTCAAAAAAAGGGCCTTATTTTTCTTGAAATACCTGTTCTGCAATAAAACTCAGAAGGATGTAAGCTTTCTGTAAGAAAACGTTATCAGTAGCATGAACTGAACAGTATTGGAATTAGCCATGGATGAATCCAAGAGCACCATTCTTCAATATCTTTATAAGCAATGAGTTTCTCCCTTTCTGGGGAGGGTACAGATAGCAGGGGCTGGACTCAGTGTCCTGATAGGCCTTATTCTCATTGTATGACTTGCACTGATGATGTCGTGTGTATGGTTTTAGAATGCACGGATCTCAACGGAAATAATCACCCAATAAACTCGAGGTGGCGGACTGACAACTGTGAGAGATGTGGTTGTGGCGAAAAACGAATTTCATGTTGCTCTCTGTAAGTCTGATCAGAATCTGTTGGGGAAGGGCAAGCAATCTGAATTTTAACAGGTGCCTTGAGAGTCTTATGAGGACACTGTAAGTAGAGTAGCAAGCACTTGACTTAGATCAGAACACCTGAGTCCTACTGAACTTGAAGTGTCTGGAGAGTTCCAGCCACATTTATCCACATTTATTGAGCAGGACCCATGCTAGATGCCTACTGGAATAAGAAGAATATTGGACCGGGAGATGCTGGCTGCTCAGAGGAGGCTTTCCTAGGCATCGCATTGGTAGGGCCACTGGATATTACAGCTGAGCCTTGATTTTGTGGCTCCAGAGATTTGACATTGTTTTTACGGTGAAGGATTGGTGACTGGTTCCTCCCTAACATAGAAGCACGGCTCCCTGGTAGCCAAAGGGTCCATGTCATTCAGATTTGGTATCCTTGACCTCTTCTAGGATTTTCCACTATAGGCTTGAATTCTTGTGGGCCTGGTATGGAAAAGAGCCAGGCTGCTCCTTGCAGGGAAGAGGGAAGAGCCTCGATATTGGAGTCAGAGTAACTTGAGTCTGAGTCTCCATTCCCTTGTATACTAGCTGTATGACCCTGAGTAAGTTTCTGAGTGTCTCTGAGCCTCTGTTTCACAGTATAATCAGGGATAATTAGGTGGCTATGAGAATTTAAGGAGATTCTGCATATACATTCTTTAACCCAACAGACACTTAAAGCCTTCTCTGTGCCAATTCTGTGTCCTGCAAGCCTGGGGCAGTAACTGACACCTGGTCAGGTTTCAGGGTGCCCTTTCCTTTCTCCCGCCATGTTGGTGTTCCATTTAACGCACTGCTGCACACGGGGGAAATGAACCACCCCTTCTTCCTTGGAATTGCCTCACTTCCTACCAAGTTTGTTTTTCTCATGAACTTTTTTCTCCTCCGTGGAAAAATACAGACTTTGATAAAGCTTTTTCTGGAAGCAGTTTTTGGACCCACTGCACCCTTTACGGGACACTGCCCAGATCTCAAGGTGCTTGGTGGCAGTGGAGCCTGAGGCTGGGGGCCCAGGCAGAGGCTCCCCAGCAGGGCGTGGGAGATGTCCTGGCCTCTACACTGCCCAGGCTTAGCTCAGGGTTGGCTCCCTGACTTGGGTGAGGAAAAGGGAGTGGGAGACAAAAGACCAAGCCATCCGACCACTGGCTCTGAACAGCTGCATACCTGTCCAGATGTTGACAGTTTCTCCTCCCCCTCTCTCTCTGCTGCTTCACCTACAGAGCTAAGTCTGGTTTGAACTGAAATAAGCATCCAGTAATATGCCCTTTGCCCTATCAACTTATATTTGCACATGGGCAGCAGTGATTCACCATTTCACTTCCTACCACGAATAAAAGAATTGTATCTCTTTGCCCAGGCATGGTGGCTCAGGCCTGCAATCCCAGCACTTTGGGAGGCTAAGGTGGATGGATCACCTGAGGTCAGGATTCCATACCTGCCTGACCAACATCGAGAAACCCTGTCTCTACTAAAAATACAAAATTAGCCAGGTATGGTGGCACATGCCTGTAATCTCAGCTACTCAGAAGGCTGAGGCAGAAGAATCACTTGAACCCGGGAGGCAGAGATTGCAGTGAACCCAGATCGCACCATTGCACTTTCGCCTGGGTAGCAAGAGCGAAACTCCATCTCAAAGAAAAAAAAAAAGAAAGAAAAGAAAAGAAAGAATTGTATCTCTTCGACAAATACCACTTTATTTTTAACTTTTATTAATTGTGATAAAACGTATACTACATAACATGTACCAGTTTAACCATTTTAAAACATAGAATTCAGTGGCATTAAATACATTCACAGTATTATGCAACCATAAACTCTACTTGCAAAACTTAATGACTCCAACCTGAAACGATATCCAGTAAACCATAACTCAGAGTCTCCATCCCACAAAACCCCTGGTAACCTCAAATCTACTTTCTCTCTCTTTGAATTTGCCTAGTCTAGGTATTTCATATAAATAGAATCACACCGTGTTTGTCTTTTTGTGTCTGGCATATTTCACTCAGCATGTTGTCCGGGTTCATTTATATTTTAGCATCTATCAGTACTTCATTCCTGTTTCTGCCGGAATAATATTCCATGGCATGGCTAGACCACATTTTGCTTATCCATTTACTTGTTGATGAACACTTGAGTTGCTTCCACCTGTTGGCTAAAGTAAGTAATGTTGTTCTGAATATTGTCAATATACAAACAATGGCATATAACGTTTGAGTCTCTGCTTTGAATTCTTTTGGGATATGCCTAGGAGTAGCTTGCTGGGTCACATAGTAATTTTTTTGTTGAACTTATTGAGGATCTGCCAAGCTGTTTTCCACAGCAGCTGTACCATTTTACATTTCTACCAGCCAACAATCATCTTTAAACATGTAAGGTTTTAAATGACATTTCCCCCAATTTTCTAAGTAAAACATATGAATTATAGAACCATTGGAGAGTATAGGAGAAAAAAGAAAAACCTACTCATAATCCTGACTGCTTAAAGGTAATAACGGTTAATATTCTATCATATTTATTTATTTATTTGTATTAAAGAATTGAGACAGGGTCTCAGTATGTTGCCAGGCTGGTCTCAAACTCCTGGGTTCAAGCTGCCCTCTCACTTCAGCCTCCTGAGTAGCTGGGATTACATGTATGTGCCACCATGCCTGGGCTTCTAAGATAATTCCTTCATGTCTCTTTTCTACATTTCTTTTCTTGCACATAATGGATATCAAATTTTATATCACAATTCTGTGGGCTGATTTTAACACTTAATGTTCTAGCATTGGGCTGGGCATGGTGGCTCACACCTGTAATACCAGCACTTTGGGAGGCCAAGGCGGGGATGGATCATTTGAGGTCAGGAGTTCAAGACCAGCCTGGCCAATATGGTAAGACCCCCATCTCTACTAAAAATATAAAAATTGCCCAGATGTAATGACACCCACCCGTAATCCCAGCTACTCAGTAGGCTGAGGCAGGAGAATCGCTTAAACCTGGGAGATGGAGGCTGCAGTGAACGAGATCGCACCACTGCACTCCAGCCTGGGTGACAGAGTGTGACTCCATTTCAAAAAATTAAAAATAAATAAATACATAAATAAATATTCTAGCATTAGTACCATCTCATCTCATCTCATCGAAACTCTTCAAAATATTTGTTATGTACTGCAGCTCAATTAGAGGTGGTGCTTGATTTTTATCAGCTTCTCCTGGGGCTCCATGACACTGGTCTAGAGTGACTCTTTACTCCAGTTAGTTGAGGGAGCTCCTTTGCCAAGAGGCTTCCAAGCCAGGGCTGGGACAACTGTTCCCTTTCCACATTCTAGCAACAATATGCTGGCCACTTCCTGAACAGGGAGGGTGGGCGGAGCCAGCCTGGAACAAGCTGCCTAGCTCCAGAGTAGCCAGACTTGCCCTTTGGCTGTCAGCACCTACTGCTGACCTTCTGTGCCTGCAGGTTAGAATGTAGGGGTGGGCTGTGTGACTCTATGGTACAGATTGGTCCATGTTCCTGGAGGCCACACTCTGGGGCTGCCAGCCAAAGGGTGCCATCAAGTTGGTGAAGGCACCCCAGCCAGCTGCAGCGTGGGTGGCTTCTTAGACAGAGCTGGGACTGGGGAGGGAGTGCTGGGGGTCCTTTCTCCTCTAACAGGCTCCAGTTTTGTCTCAATGACAGTGTTGCTACACCTGTGGGTTATGACATGCACAAGTGCCAGAAAATCTTCAACAAAGAGGACTGCAAGTTAATTGTGGTGGAGAAGAAGGACCCAAATAAGACCTGTGATGTCAGTGGATGGATATTGTAATGTGCGTCTTGTAGGCACAGGGCTCCCAGGCCAGGCCTCGTTCTCTGGCCTCTAAAAGTCTATGATGGTGTAGCCCTGCCTATCAGTAAAAGATTTTTGAGCAAACATTTGAATATGTGTGTATTTTAAATTTATAACTTAAGTATGCATTAATTTAGTACACATTATAAAGCATACAAAACATTTAAAAAGGGAGATAAAAATACATATGAATGGCTGAGCACAGTGGCTCCTGCTTATAATCCCAGCACTCTGGGAAGCTGAGGTGGGCGGATAACTTGATGTCAGGAGTTTGAGACCAGCCTGGCCAAAATGTTGAAACCCTGTCTTCACTAAAAATACATAATTAGCCAGCCATGGTGGCAGGCACCTGTAGTCCAGCTACTCTGGGGGCTGAGACAGGAGAATCACTTGAACCCCGGAGGCGGAGCTTGAAGTGAGTTAAGATCACACCACTGCACTCCAGCCTGGGTGACAGAGTGAGACAACATCTAAAAAAGATAAATAAATAAAAATAAAAAATCTAAACCCAAACAAAACAAACAAAAGCAAAATACATATGAATAAAAGTTCTATTTTTCCTAAACTCTGTAGCAGGTCATTGTGTGTCCCTTACTCAGGGGACCGCTGCTACTCTTGCTGTTTGTGATGTCTGCACTCTGCTGCCCATGTCCTGCTGGCTGGTAAATATTTTAAAAAATGTGTGTCTTCAAGCTGAAATTAGATCCCTTCTTTTCTTTAAGCTATTCCTGTTTATCCCTCCTTCCTCTTCATCAGGAAGTATCTTCTATGATGTGTCCCCCACATTCCTCTGTGTTTGCCTGAGCTGAAAGCAGGTTAGAACAAGACAGCCTGAACAAGTGCCCCCAAGGCCACATGCAGGCCGAGGGGAATTCAAGGCCAGGGGTCTGCCTTGCTGATGGAGAGTGGCCTGGGAGCAAGGCCTCAGCATCAGTTATCTCCTGCTATACAGAGAGCACCCAAAACTTAATGGCTTAAAACAATGACAACGTTGATTCTCTTTTGACTGTTTCTGTGTTAGAGAACGTTTGTTCACTCAACAGGTCTGTGCTGAGCACCTGGGCCCAGCAGTGCTCTGGACATCGGGATACAGCAGTGAACCAGAGAGACCTCAGGAGAGAACCCTGCTCTCCTGGGTCTTGGAGTCAGCTGTGTGTACGTGACAGATCAGAAATAGGCAAACAGTCATCTGTTGAACAATCAGTGGGCAACTGATAAACAGCTTTATTTTCCCTTGTCCCCCATCTGTTTAAATATGCTATGTGGGCCAGTTGAGCAATCTAGACAGGTCCCTTAGCTTTCTTGGTCAGCTTCAGATAATTTAAAAGGATGGTCTGAGTTACATTTTGAGTTATATGAAGTCTCATTCCAGAGGCTGCATCTGAACTGAGAGGGAATAGGGGACAGGAGAATTAAGGGCTCCTTCTGCCTGGGGTCATGTTCTAGGCTGACTTCCTCCTGGGAGTTTTGTGGGCCTCTCTCCACAGCTCCCCTTCCACTCACAGCCTATGGTTGTTGTCTTAGCTTCTGCATCAGAATCTACTCTCCTGTTGTTTTGTAATGAGGTTGCCTTGCCCCCTGTAGGAGCCACTCTTGGGTGGGATCCATAAAACCCTGCTATGATCTTCTCCTTTGCCGGGGAATGTGGGGAAGCAGTTGCCAACCGAGTATGGAGGACCTCTGTCGAAACTGAGACAGAAAGAGGCACTATTTTAACATCTGGTCACAAGTAAATAATGTGGGTTATAATCTGGGCTGTAGGCTGGATGTGGTGACTCAGGCTTGTAATCCCATGCGAGGTGAGAGGATCGCTTGTGCCCAGTTTGAGAGCAGTCTGGGCAACACAGCAGGACCCTGTCTCCACAGAAAAAATGTTATAAGCGGGCATCATGGTGCACGTCTGTATGTAATCCAGCTACTCAGCAGGTTAAGGCAGGAGAATCAGTTGAACCCAGGAGGCAGAGGTTGCCGCGAGCTGAAATTGCGCCACTGCACTCCAGCCTGGGCAACAGGGCCAGATTCTGTCTCAAAGAAAAAAGAACAGAAAGAAAAAAAGCATCTGGGCTCTGACTATTAATTTACTCAACCTTTTTTTTTTTTTTGAGATGGAATCTTGTTCTGTCGCCCAGGCTGGAGTGCAGCGTCGCGATCTCTACTCACTGCAACCTCCACCTCAGGTTCAAGGGATTCCCCTGCCTCAGCCTCCTGAGTAGCTGGGACTACAGGCGCGTGCCACCACGCCCAACTAGTTTTTTGTATTTTTAGTAGAGTCGGGTTTCACCGTGTTAGCCATGGTATTCTAGCTGTGCTGACCTCGTGATCCACCCGCCTCAGCCTCCCAAAGGGCAAGGATTACTGGCGTGAGCCCCTGCAGCCGGCATATTTACTCAATCTTTAGAAAAAAAAATGTGGCAAAGGAGTAATCAAACGTCATATGGCCTTTTATGTCTTATGATGTTTGCTTTTATATCTAAACGTTCAAGCTAAATAATATCTACTTTATGAGGACCTCGGAATCACTTGGGATGGTCCTCGGCACAGAATTTGCCTTCAAAAAAAAATGTTTGCTTCATTTAATTTGATTTATTCACGGAGGGCGAAAGGACACTGTGCAAGGGCGGGACGGAGTGTGCGCCTGCGCTCTGCGCCTTCTACAGGGCAGGCAAAGGCTTCTGGGGGATCACAGCGGAGATCTCGCGAGAGTGTCAGACGGATGGCGTCAGCCGCCGCCTCCAGCCTGAATGCTCCTTTTGACAACTACTAAAACCAAGGGACATTGAAAATCACTAACAAAGCTCATCAAAAGAGTGGCAGTGAGCTAATGCTATGGTGGCTCCCCCTGTAATCCCAGCACTTTGGGAGGCTGAGGTGGGGTGATCGCTAGAGGCCAGGAGCTGGGGACCAATCTGGACAACATAGCAAGGCCCCTGTCTCTACTAAAAGTAAATAAATCAGGTGTGGTGGAGCCTGCCTATAGTCCCAGCTACTCAGGTGGCTGAGGTAGGAGGATCACCTGAGCCCCAGAGGATGCAGTGAGCTAAGATCGAGCCACCTGCACTCCAGCCTGGGTGACAGAGCAAAACCCTGTCTCTTTTTAAAAGTCATCTTTGGTTGTCAGTCTACAGAGATCACAGAGCAAGGGTTAGGTAACCAGCCACCACTCTTATTCAAAAATCCTATTCATTTAGGACTTTGAAATTATAGTTTTGAGGGAGCTTTTTGGGCCCCCGACATGAAGAATCTCACTAAAGGATATCCACAAACTGGCTTGTCTCCCGCCCCACTTAGTCCAGGTCCCAACAAGAATCGCCTCGCTAGTGCCGGAGCAATCCCTCAGCGTGGCGGAAACGGATCTCCCCTCCGGATGGAGCTGAGCGGCACTGCCAGAAACCCCAAGGAAGGGAACGCCGCGTCTGGGCCGCGGTCCGGGTCCGCCCCTCTCCCCGGTGGCCGGGGGCTGCCAGGCTGGCATTCTCCAGGGCTATGAGGGGCCTGTGTTTCTAAGAGTGCAGGCAACCCGACGGCCCGGGTGCAGGGGCAGTCGCGGCCCGGTCCTCCCGCGCGCAGGCCGAGCGTCACCCCTGCCGCCCTCGCGTCCCCGGGGACAGCCGCTCACGCCCGCGTCGGCCGGCAGCCACCAGCTCTAGCTGCTCCTGCGGATCTCCTCCACAGACCACGGCGGCTCCCGCTCCTGGTCGGGGGTCATCTGGTTCATCTGCAGGGAAAAAAAAAAAAAAAAACGAGGAGACAGGCTGAGCCTGAGGGCAGCAGGGACCACGGCCTCAGCCCAGACCGTTCCCTCTGCGGCCAAGGCTGCCGCCCTCACCATCCCAGACTCCCCAGGCTGGTTGTGAACTCCTGACCTCAGGTGATCCACCCGCCTCAGCCTCCAATTTGGCTATTTTTTATTTTGTAGAGATAAATTCTTACTATGTTGTCAAGCAATCCTCCTACCTGGGTCTCCCAAAGTGTTGGAATTACAGGTATGAGCCACCATACCTGTCCTAAAAATGTATTTTATATATATATGTCTGTCAAAATTGGGATAAAGAGAAACAGACTGGTAGTGGTATGCATCTGAAGAAAAATGAGAGAAAGCATATTTACTTAGGATGTTGTGGCAATTGAGGGACAGGAGAGACCCATGGACGAAACAGGAGGATTTTATTAAGGTGGTCACCGGCTCAGCGGATTCCCAAGGCTGAGCCCGGAACAGAGACAGGGCTTGACTTTTCTGCATATGCCCAAAGGGGGTTAGACATTCCTGGCCTGAAACTTGCAAGGCGGGAAAGGAGCTTACAGAGGCAGGACAAAGGCAGTTTATTAAGCGGTGACCGCTATTGCAACTTAGGCAAGACTTATGACCTTCGGTATACATTACCGGTGGGAAAACAGGAACTTACTTAACTTTTACTGCAAATAGTTACTCAACAGAAAAAGAACAGGCCTGGGAAATAGAGGGTACTTTTTAAACTTGTTATCTCTGTTCTAGGGGAGACTCTGGGGCCCGTACTTTAAAGGCTCTGGTTCCTAAAGCTGTACTAAATCACTAGGCTGATTAACATCTATTGGAATTTCTTGGTGCAAAGGTGGGGGAGGAGTCTGAACACATTGTCAAGGGAGGAGGAAGGGGAAGAAGGCTGTGGGATCCCCTGCAGAAAGACCCCATGCTGGTGGCAGCCCCTGCCTGCTGCTCCAGGGCACAAAGGTGCTTAGATCTCTTCACTTGAGTGCAGATGCTGCTGGCCCCTTGGGCAGGTGTGTGAGGGAGGCAGCCCCAGGTGTAAAGAGAGCACTGGCTTTTGGGTCAATAGGCCTATTATATAACTGAATTGGGGCCTGCTTGCCCAGTGCAGTTAAGTTCAGATATCCACACCGAGATTACAGCACTAGAAAGGAAGGTGTTTATTCACAGAAGCAAGTGGGACCAGGCAGCTCGGCTCAAATCCTGACCTCTCTGATGGCTGGCAGGTATGAACCCTGAAAATTTGAGACTGATGTCAGTTAATTTAGAAAGTTTATTTTGCCAGGCCAGGCATGGTGGCTCATGCCTGTAATCCTAGCACTTTGGGAGGCTGAGGTGGGTGGATCACCTGAGGTCAGGAGTTCAAGACCAGCTGGGCCATCATGAAGAAACCCCATCTTTTCTTTAAGAAAAAAAAAAGAAAAGAAAGAAAGAAAGTTTATTTTGCCAAGGTTGAGGACATTCACCCATGACACACCCTCAGCAGGTTCTGAAGAAGTGCCCAAGGTGGTCAGAGGACAGCTTCGTTTTATACCTTTTAGGGACACACGAGCCATCAATCAGCATATGTAAAATGAACATTGGTTAGGCCTGGAAAGGCGGGACAACTTGAAGTGGGCAGGGGGCTTCCAGATCACAGATAGGTGAAACAAATGTTTGCATTCTTTTGAGTTTCTGATTAGCCTTTCCAAAGGAGGCAATCAGATCAGCCTTTATCTCCAGGAACAGAAGGATGACTTAACATAGAATGGGGGGCAGGTTTGCCCTAAGCAGTTCCCAGCTTGAATTTTCCCTTTAGCTTAGTGATTTGGGTGGGTGTGTAGGGGGAGAAGACAGTTTCCTTTCACACAGGTAAGGATTTTTATTTTTATTTTTATTTTATTTATTTATTTTTTTTGAGACGGAGTTTCACTCTTGTTTCCCAGCCTGGAGTGCAATGGCGCGATCTCGGCTCACCGCAACCTCCGCCTCCTGGGTTCAGGCAATTCTCCTGCCTCAGCCTCCTGAGTAGCTGGGATTACAGGCACGCGCCACCATGCCCAGCTAATTTTTTGTAGTTTTAGTAGAGACGGGGTTTCACCGTGTTGACCAGGATGGTCTCGATCTCTTGACCTCGTGATCCACCCGCCTCAGCCTCCCAAAGTGCTGGGATTACAGGCGTGAGCCACCGCGCCCAGCAGGTAAGGATTTTTAAAGGCAGGGGTAAATTTTCAGGAAAGCAGAAGTTAGACAAAATTGTAAATCAGTGCATGGAGGGTACACATTGGTTTGGCTCAAAAAGGCAAGATATCTTGAAGCAGGGGCTTACAGGTCACAGGTGGATTCAGAGATTCTTTGATTTGTAGTTGATTCAGGAGGCGCATCCTTGTCTAAAAATTTGGGGTTAGCAGAAAAGAGTCTTCAATTTAGCTCATGGGTATGGCTTTAAGGTCCCTCCAGAAGACATTTAGAACACAGGAAGGTGGTCTGAGTGCAGTCCTCAACTCCCCCTATCTGAGGTCTGCAGGCCAGCAAATCCGTTTGGTTGGGGTTCAGGTGCGGGTCCAGGTTTCTGAGTGACAAACTCAAGGGCGTATGTTAAGATGTTAAGATGTTTCTAAAGGGAAAGCAAACATCTCTGGACTCTAATTTCCTTGGCTATTGTTTTGGACTAATATCTTCCTGCCTAGCAAGTTACTTATTTACTTCTCAGGGGAGCTGAGTATCCGAAATTTCCCGGAAAGGAACTCAAGATTTTCCTTTGTTTCCATGCTTGGTGGTAGAGTTGGGGGCGGTGGCACAGGCTCCTAAAAGGTGGTCCCTGCTTCATCTCAGGCCTGGGTTCAGATTCTTGGTCTTTCTCACCATATGAAAACCTTGAATAGATGTCTCCATACCTGAGTGAAATCCCTGAGGTAATGTATGTGTGGACATGAGCAGTTCAGGCTTCCTTCCCACCTCTCAGGCCTCCACCCTGGGATGGTTCTGGAAGGCACCGCTCATGGTGAGGACAGAAGGCTGCTAGCTGGTGTTCTTCTCTCTGATTCAGTGGCTGTATTTACTTTGCGTGTGCTCTGTGAGGAGAATGAGGGCCTATGATGCTGGCATGTATCAGTTCAGATACACTGGTGGGAACGTGGCTGCATGTTGGATCTCCTGGCCCCTCCAGACCTCAACATCATGCAGCAACAGAAAGGGTAGAATCTGGCACAGCAGGGTCCCCCAGACTGACTACTGGCACTGAGGAGGAGACCCTTAATCCTCCTGAGCCTTCTGCATTGCATCTCAAAAGGAGAAGCTAGAAGTCAGTCACAAGGGGGACTGGTTGGCGCCGTTGGCCAGGGTAAAAATAAGACCCCTACTGGTTACCACAATCTCTCCTATAGATCGAAGGCATTGTATGGAGGAATCCCAAGGAGTTGTTTTTACTTGAACAAGATCAAATTCCCGCCTAAGGCACATACCCCATGCTTGCTCTATGAACCAAGACCCTTTCACATGTAATTTCTAAAGCTGTAAATCCAAGCCCCATTCATGTGCAGTTTCTAGAGCTGTAAGCCTATATAAAGGCAGGGCTTCTCTTTGTTAGACGAGCTCGGCTACTAGACAGCTATGCTGCCTTGTTCCCGGCCGAATAAATCACCCCTTCCTTCCTAGTTCAGTGCCCGAGAGGTCTGTTTCTTATGGCTGCTCCTGCTTTAGCGGCTGAACTGAAGGGTCGGTTGTTGAGCCATACTGGCTGTTCAACACTTTGAATACCAGTTCCCGAGAGAAAAACAAGCTTCTTGTCACCAGACTCTTCTTATGACTGTGTTACATTCAACACAAGGAAAGCATCAGCTTCACGCAATGGAGCGGTCTCTGGGACAACCCATTGAAAGTGTGGGAGGCAGGTGGTTTCTGGTTCCATGCACAGTTGCTATAAGCTGTAAATGAGGAAGGAGACCCTTAATCCTCTTAAGCTTCTAAGAGCCCTTCCCCACAGACTTCTACATTGCATTTCAATAGGAGAAATAAAGGCTGGCAGACTGGGCACCACCCTCAATCCCACTCCTGTAGATCACAGGCATGGTATGGAGGAATCTTTCTGGAAGCCACTGTTTTTGTTTAAACATGATCAAACCCCTACCTAGTCACACACCCCACGTCTACTTCATGGATCAAGACCCTTTCACATGTAATTTCTAGAATTATAAGCCTTTAAAAAGACAAGGATTTTCTTTGTTGAGGAGCTCAGTTGTTAAGGTATTTTCACCTGCCAGATAAATCACAGCTCCCAGCCAGATAAATCACCACTTTCTTCCCTGTTCTGTGTTTGAGAGGTCTACTTGCTGCCGGTCCTGCTTCATAAACACATGATCCTTGACCAAATACCCTTGAATCCACTTGACACACAAGAAGCTTCCAGACCTCCAAGGGAATGCTCGAGTTTCCCTTTTCTCTGGGACAAAACTTGGTTTTGGTTTCTTACGTTTCTCAGTGACTAATCCTGAACATGTTTGCTTTTGCTTCGTTTCTTTGTTCCAGTGCTTTCTCTGCTGTTTTCACACCTCTCTGGATAAGCTTTCCAAGTTCCTTACAGAAAATAAGAAAGATTATTTACCAGCAGTCTTCCTGGTCCCCGGCTTGTCAGCCTCAATGCATTCCAGGGCACTCCTGTGACACCTTATCCAGAGTAGCTGTGGCTCACAGCATTTACAGTGTTTGTTCTCACTGTTCTATTGGTGGCTTCCTTTTCCAAGTCAGTTCTTTGCCTGGATCTCCAGGATCTCTATCCCACTGCCACCTTCACCCCACGTAGGGGGTTCACCCTACAGCATTTCTGTTGCTGTAAAAAGACCCTCTACTATGTCTGTTGGCGTGGAGAATTTGTCTTATAGTATTTTAGAAGCAAGAGATTATGCAGAAAGGAATCCATGGAAGGGGGCAGAGTCCGTC